CGCGGCCGGCGGCACCGCCATGGCCCGCCGGGACCGCCGGGGCCGCCCCGCGCCGTCCGCTCCGCCCCGCTGCGCGGCTCCGCGCCGCTCCGCTCAGCCGCGCGGGGCCGGGAGCGCGGAGGGCGATGCCGATTGCATCATCTTAAAGGAGTCGGGCCGGGATGGGCTCCCGCGTCCCGCGCCGGGAGCGGGCACAGCCGGGCAGCGCCGGGCAGCACCGGGCAGAGATGGGGCAGAGCTGGGCAGAACCATGCACGGCCGGGCAGAGCCGGGCAGAGCTGGGGCAGAGCCGGGTCAGAGCCGGGCACGGCCGGGCACCGCGGGCAGCAGCAGCACCGCGGACAGCGCCAGTCGCCGCCGCGCCGGGTCCGCCGCCGCCCGCTCCGCTCGAGTTGGGCTGAAGTCCCCGCCCCGCTCCGTCCCCTCGGCCGGCAGCGCCCATCCCTGCCCCTCCACAACGTGCCTTTCCTGGCTCCGCGCAGCCCCGCGGGGGTCTCAGCCGGCGATGCGGGCGGGCAGGGCGGGAGCGCCCGGCGCGGGGGGGCTCCCGGCGCCCGCGGCTGTCGGGCAGGACCGGGCTTTTATCCCCATCGCCCCAGCGGCGACTGGCGCAGGCAGGAGCCAGCAGGGACGGGAGGAGGAGGAGGGACCGGGGGTGGCTCGGGCGCACCCGCTCTAGTTGTGGGTCTGTAACAGGGGGAGCCGCGGCCGTGGCTCCGCGCCCGCCCCGCGCTGCCCGCGGGCGCGCCGGCACCGCCACCTCGCGTCTGTCCGCGCTGCTCGGCCCCGGCGCTGCGGGCAGGGAGAGAGAGCCGAGCGCTCCGGGAGCTCCGGCGGGACACCGGGAGCCCCCGCTCACAGAGCTCGGGGGAATGAGCCCGGCACGGTGCCGAAACCCAGCGGCGGAGCTGCGGGAGCGGCTCCCGGAGAGCGGCCACAGCGCCGGGGGACGGGGGGCACAACCCTCTGCCAACACGCACCAGTCCTGGGCAAAAATACGCTACTCAGAATGATAACCGTATGAGAAAATAAAGCCTTTTACTCAAACGTTGACCAAAAGCTTTAGAGTGAAATCTCTGTGCGATGGAATCACCGTGTGCAGATAGATTTCGCTGAGATACTTCAGTGAGATTCTTCTGAAAACATGGCTGTAATTTAAAACAAAATAGTCCAAAAGTACAATTTTCAAGGCTAAGGCAGGAAATCATTATTTGTGTACTTACAGATTATTCAAATTAAATCTGAGAGCTGAACAGTTAATCAAACTCTTGATTTTTGCCTTAATTCATTAATTCTGAAACAACTGCTGTGCTCCTGAACCAAGGGTCTGTCTCTCGCTTCAGGATCTGATTCCTGATTTTCAAACGAGCAGAATCTGGTGCTGCTACAGAGAATCCTCGTTGTGGCTCAGAGAAAAGCCCACGTCCTGTGCCCCTGCCCTTGCAGCTCTGCAGAGCAGCTGAAGCAGTACAGGTCAAGTGCTCCATAACCCTTGCACAGAGGATTTAAAGGTGGGATGTGAGATCATGTTCACTTAAATGTCTTCATTACTTTTTTAAGAGCCTTGATGCAGTCGGTGCAGCCAGGATTTAACATCTGCATGACCAGCCAGAACAAACGGCAGCTCCCCTCAGGAACGGAGTCCACCAGTGCTGCCCCTGTTCAAAGCAGGGAGCATTGCATCACTTTTCCCAAATATTTTGGTTGTCCATGCTAATTAATATGCTGTAATCATATTAAAATCCATTTTCATAAAGGCAGTGGTGCCATATTGGCAGGGCTTGAAGAATCAATTCCCTCTCCCCAGTAAAAACTGATGGTGTTCAAACCAGCACAGAAGCGTTTGTGATCTCACTGTGATTAAGATCCAAACCTCCAAGGCTGGGGTTAAAGATCACCTGCATGGATGCTTTGAGGGCCAAGACAACACAGTGAGTCTGATGTGCAGGTGCTCAGTGAACAGTGGCTGACAAGAGTCTTATAAAAACCTGTGATTCCTGACAAGCTCCACGAAGTATTCCGTCAAGGATTCAATGTGATTAGCCAATACAGAGAGCTCTAAGCTCTATGTCTTTTTGAAACATTATCATCAGAATTGCCCTTTGAAAAGAACAAAAACCTTAGAATTTTAATCACAACAGCTTTAGAAATGCATCTGCACTTTTCAAATAATAATGAAAGCAATTCAGCATCTGCTTTTATTTCTTTACACGGGATGTTCCAATCATTTCACTGTAACACAATTTCCTTTGATGAAATGACTTCAGTCATAAAAGCATCACGTAAGGCTCCCCAGCCAAATACAAGCCATTGGCCAAATCCATCAAAATGCAGCCCAAGAGAGTGAAACTTTAAAATCTGGGCCAAATACATGGCGATGACCTAAATGTAAAATATGTGTCAGGACCATGCCAAGGAGCAGCTCAGTTCTGATGGAAAGAAAAACAGCATCCATCAAAGCGGGGAGGATAGAGCACGTCTCACTTCTAACAGATGTCTTTATAACCTTCAGCACAGCCAGGGGAAAATTTAGCCTGAGCTTAAAGTGTGTATTCCAAAAGTCCCAGCAGAGCTATGCTTAAACCTGATCTATGAGTGATGTGACATCATTCACAGGTTTGAGGTCATTCCTTATGACAAAGTGCTAAATTAGTATTTCAGGAAAACATGGGACAACCAACTTCATTGAATTTAGTGGGTGCTAAAAAAAGGTGTCTGAAAAGAAGCAGCAATAAGTGCTAGAAAGAAAGGGCAGAGTTCAGCTGGGCTGTAGTGGCAGTGGAGTGTGTACGTATCACCTCCACACATCTCCAGTGTGAATACACAAGCTGAAAATTCAAATCAAGTCACCCACATGTAATGAGAAACATCAGAGTTGTTTATCAGCAACAAACACCATGCAGTGCTTTGAGGTGCTCAGTGAAGAAGCAATTGAAAGTAGCAGAAACTGAATGAGTAATTCCGGGGAAAAAAAAATCTAAGTTGGATTTTGGACAGCAGATTTCAGCTAAAAAGCCACATGAGAACTTTCATCATTCTGGGTGGGTTTTACATACAATAGTTTAAATAAAAAAGGAAGAAAGAAGAACAGTACTTCCAGTTCTAGGCCTGTGCTTTGATTCAGGGACATCTTCAAGGTGCCACCTAAGGATCCTTCACTCCTGTTCCCTGTAATGTTCTGTGCTCCTCAGTAGGCTTGTGTCTAAGTACTGGGCCAAGGCGACATTTCCGAGGGCAGAACTCCAGGCAGCCAGAGGGAAGATGGCAGTTTCTGAGAAGGATGGCATGGCAAAAGGACAAGAAAACGTCTGGATTGGGCTTATTGTGAGGGCCAGTGGTTTTTCTGAGAGGCAGAAACCACTTCCTGCGCTAGTGCTCCCAGACAAGACTGCCAATCCGACCTCAATCCATGGCAAAGGACAGAGCCTGGTAGGAATCAATTCCAGGGTCCTGCAAGGTTACAGACACCTCTCTAAAAGGTGCGTATGCTTTCCATCACTCAGGTAGCTCCACAGATGCAGCTCCCAAGAAAAGAGCCAGGTAAGAACAAGTACGGTACAAGCTAAAATAAGAGATTATCCCCTGCTCCAGCAGTGTGAATTACACACAGTGAAAGTCTCATCTGCTGAAATCCAGCAGTATGTGGGAATGGGAAGCCCTCACGGATCTTTCACTTTGAAGAAAAAGCATAAAGTAACACTAAATGGCAGAGTCTCCCTGAGAAAGGATCTTCCAGCAAAGTGCATGAGTGCCTTGAAGCCGGGTTTATTCACAAATACAGAGTAAAGCATTACACAGATTTGCCCTTGATCTTTTATTCATAACTCAAGTGTATAATGTATTTTCATCAAAAACAGGCAAAGGGAAAGAGCAGCTTTCCCAGATGCTCTGGATATGAGCACAGGCACGGTGCAAGGCAGATGATTCAAACACAGACATGAGACAACATTTCTTCCCACCATGTAACACACAGAGGGGTCACAGCTTCTGCAGATGAAACCATTTGCTTCTTCTGGCAAACACCAAACCCAAGCACAAGCACAGCACAAGGTTCGAGGTTTACAAAAACTGACATTAAGGGGCTATCATGTTCCACTGATTTTTATATCAATCATTGTACATCAGACAACATTTTGGAAAAGAATTGATATATCCAGCGCTGACAACTCCTTTGGAATTCCACAGCCACTGTTCAGCAAAGCAACCTGCTACACAAACAACTCTAACACTGCAAGAGATCCAGCATGTACAGGCAGTCCTCATGGACTCACATCAACAACCAAGGACTAAAATCAAATAAAAATCGCTCTTTTCAGTCCCTCCTCTGCAAGGAACTTTCTTTCTCCCTTACAAGTTCTGCCATAGCAAGGCCTACTTCAGCAGACTTCTTCCTCCTCTCCCTTTTTCCATCCCCCCATACTTCCAAAGTTCTTTGAATAATCCTTTTATTCTCAGCCTGGTTCAAATTATCCCGTCATTAATACCGGTGTAATTAAAGTGTGTTTTTTAATGTTACAGCTAAAACAAAGTT